CCAACACTCACGCGCCTCCAACAGGACACCGAACATACCGCATCGACCTCCTCCATCGGCACCGCAATGCGTGCATCCGGACCGAACGGATGTCGCGTTGCGTTATCGCCGTGCATCTTGCTGGGAAGTATCTTGTTGGACGATCTCGTTGTTGTTGCACCTGCGGCAGACACACGCGAATGGACCAACGCCGCAACAACCATCGTTGCGGTGTGTGGTCCATTCCTATGTGCCTGCGCCATGAATCTAGCACGCTTTTTTCGGTCGCCATCCAACCGTCGAACAAAGAAGAAGAAGGGTTGGACGATCTCGTTGTTGTTGCACCTGCGGCAGACACACACGAATGGACCAACGCCGCAACCACCATCGTAGCGGTGTGTGGTCCATTCCTATGTGCCTGCGCCATGAATCTAGCACGCTTTTTTCGGTCGCCATCCAACCGTCGAACAAAGAAGAAGACGAAGAAGGTTTGGACGGTCTCGTGCACACGGTGATGAACCAACGCCGCAACCACCACGGCAGCGGCGACAGTCAATCCAAATGTGCCCGCGCCATTTGACGAGGTTGTTGCCTCGGATGGCATGCACCGAGGTTTTCACTCCTATCCTAAAACGATCTCTCCAGGGCTCGGAAGAACGAAACGAAGAGAACTTACCGGGATGCTTTCTTCCAATCGAATCACAACTATTGAAAATTACAGTGGTAAACCAGATTATTTTGTGTTTATGAACAGAAAACTCGACGGTTCGAAGTAGATGTTGAGTCTGTTTCCTCGACTTAACGAAGAAGAGGTACCAAGTACAGTACGAGGTACGTACGAGGTTGGAAGGCAAATGAGGTGGTGACAGGTCCGGAGTCAGTACAAATTGTACACGGATCTCCTACTGGTACGAACCGGTTCGGTCCCGAAACTTCGTAATTTGAATTAATAAGCCATCCCAAACACCTGTCGAAGACTATGTAAATGAAAAATGATGGTTTGAAACGGGTTGAACGGACAAAAACAAGCAACAGCGGATTATCAAGGCGACCGCGAACAATGATAATGATCTCACCAAGCAGCAAATGAAACATTAACATGAGCAACAGCAGTACGAGCGGAGCTGCCCGATGAGATCACAGGAGTGTGTTGGGGATCCGCTGTCACCATCGACTGCCAGACCGCAGACCGACTGACAGACGGCGGTTCGCCTTCCCAACGCATATGAAATTAATATGGCCTACAGACAGGGATTAGTATAAGTGACGTGGTGGGAAATAAGCGAGTGAGGGGAGAATGAGCGAGCCACGATTAAGGGAAGAGAACCCAAAAGTGGAATTTAGTGATTTTAGTATATCTTGAGTGTAAGCTCATTCTTTTTAGTTTTATCCAGTTAACAGCACATGGAGATGGGCTTTAAGACTTTCTGTAGTTAAGTAGGAAGATTAACACATGAATTCAGCAGAATTTTTTTCATCCGGATGCTGAAAATTATGACCCCTGCACAACACCACACCACACGACACCACACGATGAATCCGGGTGCGTCTGGGACCGAAACGATGGAGGCCACCGGTCGCGGAAGCAGACACGGCGCCTGCGCTCGAACGGCGAGGGAAGGGCGATCGACCGGCATCCCCCTCCGCTCGGCCTTCCGCACAGAAAGACCACGGAAGCAAACGTCGGTTTCGGCCCGGTGGTGGCTCGCGGTGGCGGCGGCGCTGGCGGTCCTCGCCACC